TATATATATATATATATAAATAAATAAATAAAAATGTATCTTGATTTTAATAATTTATTCCTATAATTTATCTCTCGTGTTTGAAACTCATACTTATTTACAACGATAAAATACCTGTAATTAATAATGAAAAGTCTTTTATTTCCTTTAACTTATTTTATAATAATTTTTAAAATTTTAAATATATATGTGTCAATGTTAATTATCTATATATAAAGGGATACGAGATTATAATTACTTTTTCGTCTCCATAATTTTAAATGATTTTATTTTTGAATTTTTAAATAATAAAAAATAATATTGAAAATTAACTATACTTATCAAACTCAAGATTTTGAGGCTTAAAAATTAAATACAACACCATTTACTTTAACGAGCATTAATAATTTTTAAACAATATAAAAATAAAAAATATCTCAATTTTATTAGTTATCTTTCTCTAAAATCACCCAAAGAATTTATAGTTTTCTACTCACTAGCATTTTCTACATCGGTTAAATAATATATTATATCTTATTATAAGCAGCTATATTTTTTTGTTTAGTCAATTTACTCTATTAAAAAATGTTATATTTTTTGTGAACGTGATTGTAAGCCATTCGGTTTGCTTCGAAGGTTTCCATCATATTTACTACAATAAAATATCTGTAATTAATAATGAAAAGTTTTTTATTTCCTTTAACTTATTTTTATTATAATTTTTTAAAATTAAAAAATATCTGTGTCAATATTAATTATTTATATTTATATATAAAGAAGATACAAGATTTTAGATGATTTTACTCTTAAATTTTTAAATAATAAAAAATAATATTAAAAATTAACTATTTTTATCAATTAAACTCAAAATTTTCAAATTTAAAAATCAAGTATAACATCATTTACTTCAACGAACACTAATAAGTTTTAAATAATATTGAGACATATATTAGTTAATAATAACGTCTTTCTCTAGAATCACCCAAAGAATTTATAGTTTTCTACTCACTAGCAATTTGTAGATCGGTTACACAATATATTATATCTTATTATAAGCAGCTATAGCTTTTTGTTTGGTCAATTTACTTTATTAAAAAATGTTATATTTTTTGTGAAGGTGATTGTAAGCGGCATAGTGCAAAATTTCCCTAAAACCATGTATTTGTGCTCAACAACCTAACCAGTAGGAGAGAGGCTGAGCACAAATTAAGGGGGTGTGACATCCGCGGAGTTAGAATTCCAAAATGCAAAGATCTCACAGAACCCATTTTCGAGCAATTGAATTTCTCTCATCCAAAAGCAATAATGTTCTTAATTTCATGCTTTCGATTTTCTCAACCAATCTAATCTAACGCTGCATGGAAATGCATGCATGCTACTATAGAATTAATTTTCTCCTCCTCCTCTAACAACAACAAAGGAAGAGACGTACAAGTTGTGCATGCATTAATCGCATGAATTCCAGCACGTGATCAACCACATGAATGTGAAAGAGGAAGGAACATTAATCAGCATCGGCAGAGATGACAGGTTCATCAAATTCTCCATCAAAATCATACCACCCCAAGGGGTGAAATTTTCAAGACCTAATGCAAGTGGCAGGGTTTTGAGTTTTTCAAGAGATGATGATGATGACATGACATGGATTTGTGTGGTGATTTTGCAGGCCATCAAAATGACTACACCAATTACACTGTGATGATGCCTCCCACGCCGGATAACCAACCCGGAACCTCGGACTCCAAACATGATGGTGCAGGTGGGACAACGTACGGAACAACAAGGTTTGCCTCCGAGTCACAACAAGAAGGTGGTGGCCCCAAGATGGAAAGAAGGATGTCTTCTGTGTTGAGTTCAGTGAATAACAAGTCCATGTTGTTGAGGAGCCAGACCCAGGATTTTGATCACAACCGCTGGTTGTTTGAGACCAAAGGGACTTATGGGGTTGGGAATGCTTTTTGGCAGGATGATCACAATTATTTTGGCGATGAGGGAGTCAACATGTCAGATTTCATGGACAAACCTTGGAAACCTCTAACTAGGAAAATTAAAATTCCAGGGGCTATACTTAGCCCTTACAGGTATGCACTATATATATATATATGTACCAATTTTCCTATTCAGATAGCTAATCATGCCTCATTGTGTCCCCCCACCATGTTGTGTTGTTACAATATCTGAGGTACATACATGTAACAACTTAGGTTGTATGAGTGCCAAGGGCTCTCACCCCTTGAACAAGAGGTTGGGGTGGGGGGATTCAATTTTATGAATGGGGCAAATCTTGTTGGGAATTCTTAAGGAGATTAGGCCCTATACGCTTGGTGGGGGACATCCTTAAAAAAAATAATTAAATTGGGGCCTGTGTACATGTTAAGTTTCCTTTTGTTTGAAATATAATTACACATCAGAAGTGCTATTAACTAATTTATAATTTTTAATAAATTTTATCTAATTAGTAAGAGCATCATCCTAGTGCCTATTAAATTTATATTGTACTGCATTCTGAGTTTTCCTTAAATGAAGTTTAGTGATAATAACAAATGACGATTTGCGTATCTACACATCTCAGGTATCTATGGTTCCAAGCACTTTGCTTTTTTGCTTTCTCTTTTGCATAAATATAATCTTAAAAGGGCTCGTGGCTATGTCTGGTTCTGTTAAATAACCTCTTGTGACATCTGATTCCAATTTAAAATCCAACATTTTGTTTTTCCAACTTTATATGTCAAATTTCATCATGATGTTATTGTTCTTTATTCTCTACTCTTTTTTTTTTTATTTTTTTTTTATTTTTTATTTTTTATTTTTATTTTTTTCCTTTTCAATAGTGTGTACATATCTTTTGTCTTTGCTGTAGACTATTCTATATTCTACCCAACTACATCAACTTAGTGGCATAGTGAAATATTAGTTACCACTATTAAGAAATCCCATAACTACAAATTGAGAAAACTACTTATTCAACCTTGTTTAAGTAACCTCCTTTTGATTTTTCATTTGTACAGGAACATTTATTTGCAAAAGGCCTTCTAGTTTCTAGGTCATCTTATCTACATGCTGCATTTTAGTTGCTGCAATTGCTGATGATAAATGCACAATATTAAGACCATGATTACAAGATTAATTAGAGTTTGGAGTTTATAACAATTTTGTGCATCATTTATGAATTAGTTTTTTCTGTGAACAGGTTGTTGGTGGTTATCCGTATAGTAATCCTAGCTTTCTTTCTAGCATGGCGAATTCGGAACCCCAACTATGATGCAATGTGGTTGTGGGGAATATCAATAGTTTGTGAGATTTGGTTTGCATTCTCTTGGCTTCTTGACATCCTCCCAAAACTGAACCCAATAAACAGAAGCACAGACCTTGCTGCATTGCATGACAAGTTTGATCAACCATCTTCTACCAACCCTACTGGTCGCTCAGACTTGCCTGGCATTGATGTGTTCGTGTCCACTGCTGATCCTGAGAAGGAGCCACCTCTTGTCACTGCCAACACCATTCTTTCCATTCTTTGTGCAGACTATCCAATTGAAAAACTTGCATGCTATATTTCAGATGATGGTGGTGCCATACTCACATTTGAAGCCATGGCTGAAGCTGTCAAATTTGCTGAGGTCTGTTTACAATCTTAAAACGAGCAACTAATGCAAACAATGATTAAAAAATAATTGACTTCTCTAAATGTAGAAAATGTGTAAAGATAGGTCATTTAATTAAGGGTGAAGTAAACTTACTTTCTTACTTTTACATCAATGTTTTAAATTGTGGTTGCGATGGCAGTATCGTCACAATTCTTGGTATTATTATTGTAGAGAAGATGAATGCTCGCAACTCAATTTTTGTAAAACACTCTCATGGATTGGTTAAAATTTATGAAAAACTATAAAATTATGGATGACACTCATTAAATAAAGAGAAAAATGTGTTCAAAAGAGTGTATTAGAAAAAAATATAGATAACATTCTCTTGCTAACAAATATAGCCGTTGTGATTGCAATTTTGATTACAATGTAGTGGTGGATAACCTCTATATATATATATATTATATACATGTATTTTGAATTTATAATTATTTTCTGACAAGCATAGCATAAGGCCATACAAATTTGAATTTCCTTTGAACTAAGGGATGCTGCATCAAACATGAAACAAGTTTTATTCAATTTAGATTGATTATGACATAGCAATCACTAAGTTGTTGATATGAACATTCAGGTATGGGTACCCTTTTGTCGGAAACACAACATTGAGCCAAGGAATCCTGATGCTTACTTCAACTTGAAGAAAGACCCCACAAAGAACAAGAAAAGGCCAGATTTTGTGAAGGATCGCAGATGGATCAAGAGAGAGTATGATGAATTCAAGGTGAGAATCAATGGACTTCCTGAGTTAATACGTAAAAGAAGTAAAATGCACAACTCTAAGGAGGAGAAGAAAGCAAAGCAATTAGCTAAGGAGAAAAATGGTGGAACTCTACCAACAGATTATACCAGTGAAGTACCTAAGGCTACATGGATGGCTGATGGCACTCACTGGCCAGGGACCTGGTACAGCCCTACACCTGATCACTCTAAGGGTGACCATGCTGGAATCTTGCAGGTATTACCTACTTTCTCACTTTAATTTTTTTTTTCTTTTGGTTTAATACCATGTAAATATGATGGACTTTAATTTTACTAGTTTTGTTTAATTTCTTTGCGGTGATTATAACTTATTATGCATGCGAGTTTCTAACAACATAAAAATCAATTAAACTGTAAATGCATACACTATTTACTTTTAGTGTATTAAGTTTTTTTTGTTAGATTTTATTTTTATAAATTTAAATGTTTTAAAAATGGTCCCTATGAAGAAATGATGTATCTAAACATATTACATCATATGTCTTATTAGAAAGTTTTCCTAACATAACATTTTTAAATGCACATCACAGTATCATTAAATAATGATAGGGATTATTTAACAATTTCTTAAACAAATAAAAGGAAAAATTTTCATATTTCCATAGATCAAAAACAGTTTTTTTTTTTTTTTGTTTTTGTTTTTGTTTTTGTTTTTGTTTTTGTTTTTTTTTTTATAGTATTGATCTCTATACTTTAGAGTTAGAAGTTTGAATTTTAGTTTTTATAGAGTCTAACAGTAAAGGAATTGGTTGTAGACTTGGGAACCAAAACCAAAATGTAAGCATGATGATATCATGGTAGGGATCAATTCCTTAATAGAAAGAAACTGTACGGAATCAATACTAAATTTTTAAGTATAGGCACAAAAACCAAATTTGAGAAAAACTAAGTAAAAACTTAGTTAAATCTTCTCCTTTCTTTAGCGTAATTTGCATTCAGATTAACTTGATTACATGGAGTTGGTCATAGAGAATATTGAATGTCCATGTTTGTTACCTACAGATAATGAGTAAGGTCCCAGATCATGACCCAGTAATGGGCTTTGCAGATGAGAAAAAGCTAGATTTCACAGGCATAGACATCAGGGTTCCAATGTTTGCATATGTATCCAGAGAGAAGAGACCAGGGTATGATCACAACAAGAAAGCAGGAGCAATGAATGCTATGGTTCGAGCCTCGGCTATTTTGTCCAATGGACCATTTATACTCAATTTGGATTGTGACCACTACATCTACAATTCCCTTGCTATGAGGGAGGGAATGTGCTTCATGATGGACCGTGGTGGTGATCGCGTTTGCTACATACAGTTTCCACAAAGATTTGAAGGGATTGATCCGTCTGACCGATATGCAAATCATAACACAGTCTTCTTTGATGGTAAAAACGAAATTCAAGTTGTCACATATATCTAGTTAGCCATTATTCATTTGAAGCAAAACCAAATTAGATTAAGAGAAATAGGCTATGTATACACGAAGTTTAAAATAGTTTTACATTGTTTTCCGATTATAAATTATCATAAATAATAAGTTTATTGACTTTTACGATAATTATATTAAATATTATGCAAAATTTTGTAAAATGGTGTTTTTTTATTAGTTGGCTGTGTAAAACTTTGTATACTGACATCCACACAAACTATCATGATCAGTAAGTTTGTTAATTTTCATAATATCTACCTTAAAAGTCATACAAGCAATTTTTTTTTATTGATTGACCAAATAATTTTTTTTACATTGATATATATAGTACATTACGATTAAAATCTAATGGTAGACAGTGGATACTGGTTTGTTACGTTTCTATGATTTTCTACATTTTGTTATGGCCTACTTGTATTTGACAATGTGTAATTCACTAGGAAATATGAGAGCATTGGATGGTCTCCAAGGTCCAATGTATGTGGGGACAGGTTGCATGTTTAGGAGGTATGCACTCTATGGATTTGAACCACCAAGATTTATTGAACACACAGGCATGTTTGGAAGAGTGAAAACCAAGGTGAACCGTAATGCACCACAAATAAGAGACCGCAATGATGATGATGATGAAGCTATGCAACCCCTGACATCTGATTCAGAAATGGGTTATCCACAAAAGTTTGGAAGCTCAACTATGTTCACAGAATCCATAGCTGTGGCTGAGTTCCAAGCAAGGCCACTTGCTGATCACAAATCTGTGAAGAATGGAAGACCACCTGGAGCTTTGATCGCACCACGTCCACCGTTGGATGCCCCCACTGTTGCAGAGGCAATTGCTGTCATCTCATGCTGGTAATTTCCTTGGCTATTGCCTCTCTATTTAGAAGTGTTATGCCGCCAAAAATATTAGTCATAATTTTAATAAATTCAGCTAGACTCAAGAGTTTTTGTTGAGTAAAATCAAGTGACTGAACTAATCCATCCCAGACTTGAAGACTAGGTCAACTAAATTTATCACAATTTGCAGCAAAACTATTTGTTCTTTTGGCAATCTAACATTTCCTTTCATCAAACACTTTCCTTTTAGCTATCTAGCAGGGTGGACCCAACGATAAATGAAACCTAAAGCGAGATAGAAAAAACTTAAATGAGAAAGATATATATTAGTCTTTTTGTTAACATATGAGGCCTTTTTTTTTATTTTTATTTTTTTATTTTTATCGATATTCATGACCTTTTTACTTTATAAAAACTAATACCAGATAAGTATTGGTGGGCTTAAGACTTCGCTTTAGTAGCCTTACTCTTTAGCCAATATTCTGTCTAGCATTTAAGAGTTGTTGAATAGAATAATGTGACAGGACTATTCATCCATTGCAGTCTTGATAACCAAGTCAACTAAATTAAATTTGTCACACTTTGTAGCAAAGATATATTTGCTGTTTTGGCAATCTAGCATAGTAGAATTTTCCTTTCATCAAACACTTTTAGCTAGCTAGCATCCATGACTTGATTAATAGAATCATGTGACAGGACTACTGAACCATGTCACAATTTGTAGCAAAGTCTTTCTTCATTTTGGTTATTTAGCATAGAAAGAAAACTTGGGGGTTATGGATGATGTATGAATCATTTGAATGCAGGTATGAGGACAAGACAGAATGGGGGGACAGAATAGGTTGGATTTACGGGTCAGTGACAGAGGATGTGGTGACAGGTTACAGGATGCACAACCGTGGGTGGAGATCAATATACTGCATCACAAGGAGAGACGCTTTCCGCGGCACAGCACCTATAAACCTCACTGATCGCCTCCACCAAGTGCTGAGATGGGCCACAGGCTCTGTGGAGATCTTCTTCTCAAGAAACAACGCCTTTTTCGCGAGCCGGCGCCTCAAGTTCTTGCAGAGAATTTCCTACCTCAACGTTGGAATCTACCCCTTCACCTCAGTGTTTCTGGTTGTATATTGCTTCATACCTGCCCTCTCCCTTTTCTCAGGACAGTTCATAGTCTCAGGCTTGAATACAGCTTTCCTCATCTATCTTTTGCTCATCACAATTTGCCTCACACTTATATCCCTCCTTGAAGTGAAGTGGTCAGGGATTGCCCTTGAGGAATGGTGGCGCAATGAACAATTTTGGGTCATTGGTGGAACTAGTGCTCACCTTGTTGCTGTCATACAAGGCTTGCTAAAGGTAGTGGCAGGCATAGAGATTTCATTTACCTTGACATCTAAGTCAGCTGGAGAGGATGAAGAGGATGTCTATGCTGATCTCTACATTGTGAAATGGACCAGTCTCTTCATCATGCCACTCACAATTCTCCTCATTAACTGCATTGCCTTGATCATGGGGATTCTAAGGACAGTGTATAGTGTGATACCTGAGTGGAACAAGCTCCTGGGGAACATGTTCTTTAGCTTCTGGGTGCTGTCTCATATGTACCCTTTTGCCAAAGGGTTGATGGGTAAGAGAGGAAGGGTGCCCACAATTATTTATGTGTGGTCAGGGATTCTCTCCATTACCATTGCACTGCTTTGGATCACAATTGATCCTCCAAGTGACACTCTCCAATCAGGAAGTATTGATGTATGAAAAGTGTGCAGTTGGAAGCATGAAGATATGTGCTGCAAAGAGTTTTGAACAAAACATGCATTGTGACAAACTAAGCAAAAATAAAGGACTAAATGGAAATGCAAAGGAAGAGATAGCTGGCTTATGAAGGTGATAAGAAGTGTACAATAGAGAAGTTCTTTAAAAATTGCTCATGATCTGTATAAATGTTTTTATGTTTATTTATAAATCTGTAAATTTTCTTTGAGAAAGTAGACAGAAATCAGGGATAGATGGCGCCTTTTTCTTCAACTTTTACAGATAGAAATGCAAAAGGAAGCATACTCCTATTCCTGTGAAGCTGAGAAGTGTGTAATAGAGAAGTTTTTTAGTAATTGCTCAGGGTCTAGAAATATTTTTGTATTGATAAATGCTAACAATACATTATGATACACTTTATTATTGAGTAAAATTTAATAAAAAATTATAAATTTTGTAAGTCTTGATTCTTATTTAATGAGTTTTATTCATAATTTTATAAGTTTTAATAAGTTTTAACCAACATTAAATATTGTGTTGCAAGACTATTATTCACTATATAAATCAATGTTTTAAGATTATTTTCACTCCATTCTATTTTGTGTGACATTTTAACAATTCTTTGTTTATTTTAATTTGATTGTCACTTTACAATATTAATGTTGTATTAACATTCTTTTCCTCATATTATATCTTAATCATTACTTATCCATTCTTTAATTATTGGTGAGAATTCAAAAAATTTACGAATATATTGAGAAGTTATATAATTTATTTTATAAAATAAAGATAAATTGAGAAGTTATATAATTTATTTTATAAAATCAAACATATTTATTGTATTTCTTAATTTATGCCAAAACTTTAATAAACGTTAAACACAATAGAATGAAAAGAGTATAAGACACCTATGAACGTACACCAAAATTGGTTTATATTGAACTTAAATGCATCTAGTAAGAAAAATATAATTTGTCACTTCTAAATAATAGTCATCTTATTAGTTTCACTTTTAATTACATGAACAACTATTCTTACCCAATAAAATTAAAATAAAAAGATATTGAAAACATATTTCATACATTTTTTTAATTATGATATTAGAATGAAATATCTATTACTGAAAGTAGTGATTAATCTTTGTCGAAGACTATGAGTGCACATAAAGTAGGTATTTTTCTCTCAACATAGTCTACTTATACTTGAGGCCAAGATTCAAACCTAGATAACTTGGTTAAGGATACAAGTTGCTAACCACTTGTGCCAACTAATGTTGGTATACTTCATCCAATATATATTTATTGATGTTTTAATTTTAGAAAAAAATTAATTAATATTTCCATGTCTTAAAAAAATATTAAATTTTTATTTCAATTTTGCCTCCTAATGTAATGATTCAACAGGTTACTACACTTAACACAACACAACACTAAGCGACGAAAAACATAAACATCTTCTAAACTAGGATTCTCATACAAATAGCACCTGAGTATTCATGCAACAATATATGTATAGTAGTAGAAAACATAAACAATCCCTACTTATAACAACTCAAAACATAAAGTCCCTCATTCGGATTATAACAAAATCTTGTGTGAATGTGTGTGTATACATACACACACACAAATTCCAATTCTAGAAAGCAATTAAACCTTAAGTTTTCAGTCAAGCATCTACACAAAGCTATAATAGACAACCTGCACAAAATGAAAACATCTCCTGTATGGCCAAAATATCACACTTTTCCTCCAACTTAACCCTGACTTGCTCCTATAACAAGTATGATTATTACAGTCTAACACATAAAAAAAGCAAGGGTAAGCTTGTTTAAAAGGAATCAACATATAATATAGAAAGCAATAAGCTAATTATATAAACCACTACACATCAATAACTCAACAAGAGCCATATGCTCAACTCAGATAACATAGGTAATCAATTCATCAATTAACTTCACAACATTATTCACAATCAACAGTTTTATAACGCAACATTTTAACTACCGAACAATTTCAAATCTAAATACACATCTTATCAACTCAATATCTAACTTAGAAATTGTAACACCCTCTATCCTGTACACCAATACTCATAATTAAATAAGTAAAATAAATCTTTGATAGATCTAAAGAAACCTTAACATAAAACGAAGATAGTTTGCAATTCACCTCTAAGGATAAAGGAAGTCACATCTATTCAAAATTGAAAACAAATACTTTTTAAGTCAAAAGATAATCTTGGATCCCTTAAGCTTTAGAGTTTTAATGTCAACAAACAGAACACTTTTATAGGAGAAAATGTCTTCAAAAACATTATAAAAAATATCTTTGAAAATACTTATCAAATGAAGTATGAGACACAGATCGTCTATAAGACGATATAAATCATATGAAGCATATAATATGTCTCATATATATTAAATTCTTATTATTTATTAAGACTAATGACAAAGTTTGTATTGAATGTTTCATTCCTTAAAAGATTGAACAAAAAATCCATTTTGGAACTCATAAATCTGTTAAAAAGAAAAATCATGTTTTCCGTCATAACCAAGATCCCTGAAATCAAGAAGAAAAGCAAATAAAGTCACTACTATAACTGATTTGCACTGGCATTGCTTCTATAGGCTCCGTTTGGTATGGAAAGTTGATCAATATTCTCCTTGATCAGATAAGAGATACCATTTGGTGAAATGCATTTAATGTTCACAAGAAAAAGTGATGAAGACAAACAAAGTAAACTTGTGAGCTAGACTCAAAGTGTTGCAACATCATCTTCTCCAAGCTACTATATAAGAAGCTTTGAAGCTCAAAAAGAAGAACATAAGAAACATATTCAATAAAGACATACTTTGTAAATTTTACGTGTGTATATACTTCATTATTTCTCGTACAAAGCTTATTGTATTGTATTGGTTGTATAACATCTAAGTGAGACGAAATAACATCTTTGTAACCTTTATAACCATTGTTATAAGGTTAAGCCTTGAGAGATTTGTTTGAAAAAAAAATATTTATTTTGAGCTTGAAGAGACTTATTTGTAAAAAAATATATACTTATTTTAATCCTAGAAAGACTTGACTATAAAAGAATACTTGATTGTTAAGCTTGGAGAGGCTTATTGTGAAAAGAATACTTGATAGTTGCTTGCAAAGACAAGCCAAAGAATACTTAAGGTTAAGCCATAAGTGACTTGTTGAAAGAATACATGTATCCACTACTAGAAAATTGCAAAATAGCGACCAAAATTTATCAGTCGTTATTTAGCAACTGATTTAGCGATAAATTATGAAAAATAAAAATAGTGACCGATTTAGCGACCAAAATAAGTCGTCGCTAGAAAATCGGTCGCTATTTCGGTCGCTAAATAAATTTTTTTGATTTTTTAGCAACGAAATTAAATTCGGTCGCTATTTCGATCGCTAAATTATAAATTTTGATTTTTTTAGCGACGAAATTTAATTTGGTCGCTAAATATTAGTTAAAATTAGCGACAGAATTGAATTCGGTCGCTAAATAGTAGTTAAATTTAGCGACAGAATTGAATTAGATCGCTATTTCGGTCGCTAAATTATAAATTTTGATTTTTTAGCGACGAAATTTAATTTGGTCGCTAAATAGTAGTTAAAATTAGCGACGGAATTGAATTCGGTCACTAAATAGTAGTTAAATTTAGCGACGAAATTAAATTCGGTCGCTATTTTGGTCGCTAAATTATAAATTTTGATTTTTTTAGCGATGGAATTTAATTCAATCGCTAAATAACAGTTAAAATTAGTGACGGAATTTAATTCGGTCGCTAAATAGTAGTTAAATTTAGCGACAGAATTGAATTAGGTCGCTATTTCGGTCGCTAAATTATAAATTTTTATTTTTTTAGCGACAAAATTTAATTCGGTCGCTAAATAGTAGTTAAAATTAGCGACGGAATTGAATTCGGTCGCTAAATAGTAGTTAAATTTAGCGACGAAATTAAATTTGGTTGCTATGTTGGTCGCTAAATTATAAATTTTGATTTTTTTAGCAACGGAATTTAATTCAATCGCTAAATAATAGTTAAAATTAGTGACGGAATTTAATTCGGTCGCTAAATAGTAGTAAAATTTAGTGACAGAATTGAATTCGGTCGCTATTTCAATCGCTAAATTATAAATTGATTTTTTTTAGCAACGGAATTTAATTCAGTCGCTAAATAATAGTTAAAAGTAGCGAAGGAATTGAATTCGGTCGCTAAATAGTAGTTAAATTTAGCGACAAAATTAAATTCGGTCGCTACTTTGGTCGCTAAATTATAAATTTTGATTTTTTTTTAGCGACAAAATTTAATTCGGTCGCTAAATAATAGTTAAAATTAGCGACGGAATTTAATTCGGTCGCTAAATAATATCGCTAAATAGTAGTTAAATTTAGCGACGGAATTGAATTCGGTCGCTAAGTATTAGTTAAAATTAGCGATCGAATTCAATTCGGTCGCTATTTCGGTCGCTAAATTAGAAATTTTGATTTTTTAGCGACGGAATTAAATTCAGTCGCTAAATAGTAGTTAAATTTAGCGACAGAATTTAATTCGGTCACTAAACCAGAAATTTTGATTTTTTTAGCGACGAAATTAAATTCGGTCGCTAAACTTTAGTTAAATTGGTGACGGAATTGAATTTGGTCTCTAAATCAGAAATTTTGATTTTTTAGCGACAGAATTTAATTCAATCGCTAAATATTAGTTACAATTAGCACTAGTGCAAAAATAGCTTTTAAGATCGGGGTTTTAAAATCGGTTAAGGGGGAATCGATTTTAAATGGGAGGCGGTGGCATTTTTGTAATTAAAATCACTACTTTTAAAATCGGTTAAATTTTAACCGATTTTAAATGGTATAAATGGTAAAATTAGCAACGAAATTCTATTCAGTAGCTAAATATTAGTTAAAGTTAGCGACAAAATTTTATTCGGTCACTAAGTAAAATTTAAAAAATTTTATAAATTGCTTAAAATTGATGATAATACTTAGTATAAAAGTTATACCAGTGTTATTATAACCCTTCTCATTTTAAAATATATAAATTATTACTTAAACTTTTAAATTTATAATAAATAATTTAAATTGTATCATAAAATTAATTTTAAATAGAAATAAGTAGATTGTTAATTATAAAAGTAAGTATATATATAAATAAAGATTAATTAAATATAATATAATTATTATTATTAGTAATATAATTATTATATATTTATAACGGTCCGGTTATACCAAAATAATAAGGATCCAAAAATAATATAAT